CATTATTCCAGAAGGACTTCAGACATCACAAATTCTACGTAATTATGGAAACGCCGAATATCTGAGGGCACTTTCGAGCTACTTGGCTCCTTTGCTTCAGAATCCAAATACGAGTCGTTGGGTAAGGTGTTGGCACGCTGCARCAGATGGATGGGATGTAACAAAGACATTCCACCCACAATGTGACGGAAAGGGACCCACGGTGACTATTATTCGTGTCAAGAAATATGTMTTTGGGGGATATAGTGATGTATCATGGAGCGGTGAGTACCAGCTTTTCCCTGTGAGCAGAGGTTTTTTTCTGACCCTCCGTGGGCTGGCCGGTCATATACTTTTTCTCCCCGACCAGCTAGCCCACGAGCCACGGAGGGTTAGAAAAAAGCCTCTGCTCGCAGGGTATACCAGCTTATAATTAGTGTTTGCTTCTATCTGTATTTACGTTTTTTCCTCGTTAGCATTAACAAAATTTCAAGCTGCAACCAAACCGACTCCAGAAATCGAAAGAGAATGTCTTATTTAGTGACTGAAAGTTTGAGAGTAATATGTTCAAAATTTTGGGAGTAAAATTTTTTTGAAAGGGGTATGATTTACAAAGAAATATATGGTCGTGTGGCAAGTAAAACATACTCTTTCGATTTCTGGAGTCGGTTTGATGATGATGATGATTATGATTTATATAGCGCCCTTTTCAAAGGCGCTTTACATGGAGTTGTGAATGACAGATTGCTTTTTATGCAATTTACAAGCATGAGAGATGGTTAGTATGAAATAGAGGCACTGAGGGTGGTCACTGCCAGGGTTTCTTTTTACGTTCTCAGTGGTTATTTTATGTCCCCCATTTACTGTAGGTTAGGAAGGGTTGGGAGACAGGGCCTACGGTTTTAAGTCCTTATCCGCACAACAGACCGACGCTCTTACCAACTGAGCTAACCGGGTGGCGGTTTGGTTGTTGCTTGAAATTTTTTTAATGCTAATGAGGAAAAAGCGTAAATAAAGATCGGCCTATTATGACAGCCGGGAGTCAATTTGAATGTTTAATTCTGAGAAACAAATCTGTTGCATTTTCTTCTTTAAAAATTCCGTAATGTTCCCATTTTCCAGGTTTTGGGCCAAAGAAAAACACTCAAAATAATCTGATCTAACTGTTCCTTATTTGCAGAATTTCGTGGTTATTCATCATCGATTAAAGCATTTCTCTTCTCGCTGTACAACACCAAAGGCTACCACCCCATTAAAATCGAACTCACTGGAATTGCCAATCAATTTGCTATCTTAAGATCAAGAGACAAAGGGCCGACGTTTGGTAGCGGACCTGACTTACAAATCTCAAACGCTGCATCCTCTAACCTTAATTCTTTAGCACGTTGCAGCACGTACAAGACTCCCCCAGGCTGTCTAGATAACAAAGAGTGTTCTTTCTATACTGGGAGTTGCTACTTCACCCCATGCGACGTGGAAGTATTCTATGAAAATACGAGTTAGATATCTAAAAAACATTTTTGGCTCATTGTTAGTAGGAAACTTTTACCAAAAATATTTCGCTTAAAGATACTAAAGTTCTGATGGTGGTAAATTTGTTTGATTAGCTTTGCCTGAGAAAAAAAGTAAATAACAATAATGATAATGACAATGATAAGTGCACTTTAAGGCATGGTAACCGTAACAGATGAAGTATACAACAAGAAGCAATCACGAACTACTAAGCTTAGAGTTTACTAAAAATCAACTGTTTTTGGTTGTTCGAGTCGTTCAAACAGAGAAAAAAAATAGAAGCTAGTTATTACCATCTTCCTGCACAATGACGATGATGACAACGACGAGGATGATGATGATGATGACCTCGACGACGATGTGATGATGACGATGATGACGATGAGGATGATGATGACCTCGACGACGACGTGATGATGATGACGATGATAATGATGATGACGACGATGATGATGATGACGACGATGATGATGTTGATGACGTCTACGACGATGATGATAATGATGACGATAATGATGATGATGATGCCGATAAAGATGATGATAATGTTAGTTTATGATTTTTGATGCCGATTATTATAGTGACATTATTACTCGATTGGCAATAGTGTCGTAATCATCACGGACAGAAGATCTGGTGGACCTATAATAAGACCTTGAGGAACACCGAAATGAAATTCAAGTAATAGTCATAACGGACAGAATATCGCTGTCAAACCATGCCAAAAAGATTTAATAACAGCGCTCTAGACCCACAGCCAGTTAATTATGTATATCAAATTGTTATTGTGCATAAAATTACTTATTTTCTCTCTTCTTTGTCTCTAAACTTCTTCACTTTTTCTTTCGTTTCTCCTCTTTCTTCTTCTTCTTCTGATCTTCTCCTTCTCTTTCTTCTTCTCCTTCTCCTTCTTCTGTTTTTTTAGATTTTTTATGCACCAAGTTTTTTTTTCGTTTTCTTTTTGTTTTTTTGTTTTTTTGTTTTTTTTGCGATGATAAACACGAAGCTGCTGTCAAAATCTTAATGTCGCAGAATAAACGTTTTGATTCTGATTCGACTTCCTGTTTTTCTGGACTGCACACACCTTTGCGAGTCAAATTTATACCCACCCAAAAAAATATTCATTAATATTCTTAAGAAGTTGATTTAAAGGAAAAGTCAATAAAAGTCGAAAGTATTGTAATCGTCGTCAACAATAGTGCTTTTATATGATTTTTTGGAAAGATGACCGGATACCTTGACCTTGCGGGATAGACCCATTGCGTGTGCCGTCGACCTGGGGAGCAGCGCAAGACAAAGGGGGGAAAATGCATGAGAAATGTTTTCAAATCTCAAAACTGTTTTGACTCCCGGTTAGAGAATTAGTGCAAGGGGTCTATAGTGAAGTCACTGGTTTCAAATTATCTATAATATGAACTATCCCAGCAAAAGTTTTGTCTAAAACTATTCTTTAAAATGTTGATACCGATTATAGGAATAAACCAACTCCAGGAATAACACCGTTCACCATTAGGTTTGTCTTCATATGACTAAATCTAGAAGGCGTTTGGCGACGAAGATAGATTATTCTGACAATATAATAAGCGGTAGAAGTACGTAGAAGTTCRCGCAATTCTTTAAAGCTGTCGGAACATCTGCACGATTAGTTTTAGCCAAAATTTATTTCACACTTCACCTATACTCCATATAACGTTCTCAATACGTATACACTCAATTATTTGCTTTTCTTTCTGGAAAAATTAAAACTTGCGAATTTATGTGAACTTATAATTGCCTGCTGGGCGGATCTCTGCTGATACCTTCTGAAACTCAACAAAGGTGAGGCCGACAAGGATCATGAATAAATACATTTTACATGTTTCAACCGCTTGATAACTGTTGATGGATTTGCACATCTTTTACCAATTACAGTCTCACCTCCTGTGAGGATCTTCAAGCTGCAATTTGTACCAAAAAATCTTTACTTATTTGATATGAATTGTTTCCCATAATCCTAGGTGATCTCAGAATTCTTTTTTAATTGATTCCTTTTTCAATATAAGCAGATACATACTTTTAATTAACTTTGATATATTTATATGAAATGTCAGTAGTTCCTTCAGTTGAATACACTACTTTGAAAAAACAACTGATTCCAACAATAGATACTAAATTTTCTTCGCGACTCGGGCAATTTCAAAACTATGAAAACACTCGCTTAATTTTACTCTGCCCCATACGATTACCTATACTAATTAGCATATTTCTAGTCAAAACAAACATCACTTACAATGCCAATTTCGAAGGGGGGAAATCTTTTAAAACTCCCTTTTAATTTTTAAACAGCAATAAATTTAGTATAGTTTGAAAGTCAGTATTTTGAATTCTTTTTCCTGCTTACTTCAATGAATTTTGTCCAAAATGTAAGATCTTAGCAAAGAAAATACGAGGTGTGGGAAAATTGAAAATTAGACAAAAGGTACACTTACCTTGCAGGATAATTGTAATTCTCT